GCTCATCCGGGCTTGTACTTCATTGTTATATTAAATTTGGCCAGGAAGTCCTGTCATCGTGCTTACTTTGGGGAGAGTTTCTTTTGAGTTTGGAAGTAACTTAAAGCGATGTTATTCATCCTCAGCATAAATCACGATCCGAGAAGGTAGTGTCGTCAAATTCGTAGACAGTGGACCACTGCTATCATCTCCTTCTCGTGCATCGGAAACCGTCGCTCGGTCTCATTGAGCTTGCGGCTCCCGTAGGCCACCGGGTGACCCTCCTATATGAGTACTCCCCTAATAACAAAATCTAAAACATCTGTATGGACTTCGAAGGGCTCCCTATAATCCAGCAATTTGAGCATTGGTTCTTCCAACACAACAGCATTTAGATCTTAGAATGCAGCTTCATATTTGTCAGACCATCTCCAAGGCTGCTCTTTCTTCAACAACTTCATCAGTGGGGTTGCATACTTCGAATACCCAGTTATGAAGCGTCGATAGTAGTTGATGAAACCAAAGAAGGATCTCAGTTCCAACACCTTCTTTGGAGTTCTCCATTCTGCAACAACTTGCATATTTGATTTGTCCATCGAATAGAAACATTACTGATTCGATGCCTCAAGAATAAGATCTTCATCTAAGTAAAGTAGCATTTCTCCCTTTTCATGAACAAGGTGTTCTCCCTGAGAACCTTGAAAATTGTCCGAATGTGCTAGATGTGCTCCTCGAGCGTTTGGTTAGTCACGTAGGTAGTTTTCGTTTTGTCGCCTTTAGCAATGCACACCTGCCAGTACCCCGACTAGAGTTCGAGTTTGGAGAAATACTTTGCTTTGCTTAATTGGTCGAATAAGTCTGTGATGAGCGGGATGAGATACTTGTTCTTCACCGTTACCTTGTTGAGGCTCGATAATCGATGCATAGTCGAAGGCTCCAATCTTGTTTCTTTTGGAATAAAACTGGAGCTCCGAATGATGCTTTAGAACTACAGATGAGACCATCGCTTAGAAGTTCATCTAACTGCTTTCTGAGCTCTGCTAACTTTGGAGGGGACATGCGGTATAGTGGTCTCGCTAGAGGCTTTAGTCCCGACTCCAGCATGATATGATGATCTACGCCTCTACATGGTAGTAGAGTTTTCGGCAACTCAAGTGGCATAACATCTGTGAACTCTTTTAGAACGTTCGCCACCATAGCAGGTTCATGAATGACCTCCCCATCGAGGGGCTCTAGCTTCACAGCAGCCACAAATGTTAATTCGCCTTTTCGTACCCCTTTCTTTAGTTGGAGCCTAAGGATCACTTGGAAGTCGTCCAATGACACCGACATTATGTTTGTGCTCCCGCTCCATGTTCCAATCTTGATGGGGACTCCCTTTGCCAGCTCGGAGATCCGCTTGGCTTCCGAGTTCACTGCCTTCATCTGAGTTGCTTTGCTTCTCGGTCGACAATAAAGTTGTGGGTAGCACCCGTGTCCACCATTGGGTTGTTTGGCCATTAAGCTTAATGTCCACATACATCAGCTCGCTACTCCTTGCTTTCAATGGATTTGCTTTTATGTTCTCCCCCACTTGACCCCACAATGCATTCAACAAACGCATTACTCCCATTCGGGGACCTTGTGACACTTCATCATCACTGCTGGATTCTGAACTATTTGAACTGAGGGCGACAATCTTTCCCTTATCTGATTTGGGGAGATGGATTGAAGCTGTTAAGGCATTGAGTGCCTGTTTATGTGGGCATTCCCTCACCATGTGCGGCCCTCCGCACAAAAAAATCTGCCAAGTTTTGGGCCCTTGCCTTTTGAGCTTGGCTATTTATGAGAACTCTTCTTCCTTTGTTCACCCCCGGGCTCCTTCCCTCAAGAATATTTTGGAGGGCGGTTTCCTGAAGATTGTTTCCTTTTTCCTGACTCCTCCGAGGAAACAAAGTCAGTGAGCCTTT